ATACTCATGCATGAGTTAGAGAACCATGTTACTCTCTTTTGGCATCATGTGTTGGTAAAATATTAGTTTTTGGTTTAGATGGGATCTAGATCTTATGTCCCCTCTTATCATTTTCTTGTGTTTCATTCCTTAGTTGTATTAGACCATTAAAAACCTGAATAACTTGAGCAAATAGAGAGAAAATCGGATTTCAAGCAAGATAGGAAGAGAAGTAGAAGAACCGAGCAACACCTCTTTCATTTCTCCACATTTTTGTCTTCTTGAAGGAGGTAAGGTTCCTCGGTTATGACTTCAAGCATTTGTTTTCTGAAAATGTGTTCTTCATATGAAATGTATTCGTTTCATTAGCTTTCACTAGCCTTTGGAATTTCATGAATCCGATTTATATCGATTAAGTTATGATTTTCGAAACATCATCGCGCAATCAATATTTATAAAATCCCGGCAGCTTGTGTTCACTTAATGTTTGATCTATTTATCATGTCTTAAAATACTCAAATGAAAAAGTGACCATCATAAAAGTTGTAGATATCTTTCTTATCTTTCTAGTGAGGTAAAATACATGTTGATATGAGCTCGGTAGCATGAGTTGTAGTTAATATATTTAGGTGTTATTTGTAGCATGGAATTATTCCTATCAGATTTTATGAACTGTAAGTTTGGTGTTTAAACTTATTGATGATGTTGTTATTTGTCAATATTGTCTTTTGAAAGTTGTAGTTATTTAAGTTAGAAGTCCGTTACTTTTTGAATCAAGTCATTTAGAGTTGATTTGAATTTCTTATGAATTTGTGAAGTTGTACATGCATGCTGTTTTTATGTATCCGGGCAGGTTTGGTGATTAAGATGTTAGGCTGTTTTTGATAATTCTAGTATGGCTATATGAAAATGTAATCATCATGAAACTTGTAGTACATGTTATAAGCTTTCACAAAAAGTTTAAATCATGCAACTTAGAGTTTTAGTTGATTTTATATAATTTTTCTAAGTTGGGTTTATGTCCAGAATTTTGATGCAGTGGCTGTGTATATACTCAAAATGTATGTTCTGAAATGAGGCCTATAACGTGATTATTTGCAAATGTGGTCTTCAGTAAAGTTGTGGAAATTTGAGTTAGCTATCACATGGTTTTTGAATCTCATTCAAAACGTGTCTGTAGCTCCGGTTAGCTAGTAAATATTGAAGTCTGGTCGGTTACAAGTTCTCGACTTTTGACTGCTACTCAGTTTTGAATGTTTGATAATTTATTTCCTAGTAAACGACCTTATTTACTTTTCATGTCTTCATAAGAATTGTAGATGCATACCTTAGGATTACAGTGCAACTTGAATCATATTCATCCGAATTATGTACTGAAAGTTATGTTGATTTTAAAAACGCTGCCCGGGATAAATTTTGAAAAACGTATGTGGTACTATCGAAAATGATATTTCCTTGAATGAGCATAACTGGACTAAGTTATTATTATGATTAGTTAGTCATGGGTTGAACAGTCATTATAGGACTATTTTAATAAATGTAGGTGATTGACGACCCGAGCTTACCGCGTAACCGTTATTGTTGTGCTTTCGCTTGTTATCATCCAGGTGGGTTTACTTATAA